ATTATAGCAGACTTCAAGCAGGGTGGAATGACAGCTTGTTCCAGAGATAGGTTGAAAATGTGCATTCCCTTATTTGAACAAGAAAACTGAAGACTCAAATCCATTCAGCTGTAAAAGGCTATGACGGTGATCTGACAATCCACCAATTATTTTTGCAGGCTCTGCATTTATACTGATTTAAGAGATTTTTGCACTATGCGATTCAATTTTGAGATTCAACAAAATTATGTCAAAACATTTCTTAAAGTAAAGTAAGTCAAGATACTCAGATAAAGAGTGGAAATTAAACATTTGTAAGACCAATGAATTCTCCAAAAAGTTAATTTAGACTGCGTCGGGGACCGATATTTGCTCATTTGTCATCTGACAAAATATTGGCCCCAAAGGTAGGAACATCCACACTTCCTTTCTTGCCAAAAACGAAAGACGATGTTTTTTAAATTCAACACCATAAGTCATTGTGGAAGATTGCACAGTGTGTGATCTGATTTGCATGCAGTGGATGTGGTTGATATCTTAAAAAGACACCTGTGAATGGGACCCAAATTATGTAGACAGACGGCTCATTTATTAAAGTTTGTAATGGGGTACTCCAGCAAGTTAGCAAACATTAGAGTAAGAGATGTCTTTTGGCATTTTCCTCCCCCTTCTGCTATCTGCATGTTACCGTTTTTAAAGTCCCCATTGCTACGTAAAACAACAACTTCCCTGTAGCAACCTACACACTGAAAATGGCAAATCAGCCTAACCTGGTCACTAACAGGCCGGCAGCTACAACCTTTTCTTTTAATGCCAGGCCTCATCTCCCCCACATCCAAATGCTCTACCAAAACAAGTCCCCCTGACACCATCGCTGCACCTGGGCTTAGAGCTACCCAAGACAATTGTGATTGGTTTTAAGAAATACAAACAAGCCTGAGCATTTTCCCCCTATACCGGAATGATAACGGGTTCAGCCAGACCTTTCTCCACTGCTGGCACAGCACTCGAACGATGTGTGGAGGTCTGGCTAGGCGAGACTACGCAGCAACTAACCTTAACTTTAATACTGGTGCCCCTTCAACATGAAAATGTCCAGTACTGATCTTCTGTTGTTCTAAGATTCTGGACACTTCTTTGTCAAACTCACCATTAACAACGTACCTCAGAAAGAAGTTCAAATAATGGAGCTTTTGATTGCAAATGGAAGAATCACTTTGAAGATAATTACAGTGGGGTAGGTGATTATAACCCATTTCTTTATTAAAGTTACATCGAAAACACATAACATTAATTTACTGGTACTATGTGTGGGTGGCAATATCATCCACTATGTGACAACTAAAGTAATACAAACTGCAGAATAATATTCAATACAAACATATCCGTTTTATGGAGGCTTAGACACTTAACACTCTAAGTGGTCTCAATGGAGAGAGAAAGACGAGTAACTCACTTTGTAGAAGTCCTGATCCTCCACAGTGATTCCACTGACGGCGTAACTGGAGTTGACGAGTTTATCCAGCAGGGTCTTCTTCTCCTCGACACTAATCTGAAATGTTATTGATGAGGGAGATGAATTTCAGTAAAGAGCTGCAAAGGCAGACCTGTGTCAGATTTAATACACTGAAGGTTGAGGCTCATGGAAACCAAACATCATTTATCTGATGAATGCACCGTTTTCCTCCTTGCTTGACAGATTATGTGTTGATGTATTATTAAAAATTAAATAGTTTTTACTTTTTTTTTTATTCACCTCCGTTTTAGGAAACCCAGCTGCTGCAGTGTTTTCCTTAGGCAGGTCTTAAAGACACACTTTTAAGTTAAAAAAAAAAGAAACTAAACACTGTTTTTATACTTTTCTTCAACATATAATCACAATTTAAGGAAACCATAACATTCATGGGTTCTGTTACAGTGAGCCAACAGCTCCATCTAGTGAAATTACAATTGAACACATGTTGCTAATGGAGCTTGTTGGCTTGGGAATATAATGCACAATATTATTCACTGAAATTCACCACTAATACTAATTACTACAGAACCCCACAAAGCCAGAGGAGACACATTCAGCAGAGTACTTTGTCATGAGTAACATTTATAGACATCATTTTTGCTGATAAACTCTAAGCTCCTGTTACTTTTAGCTTGAAGATTAGTATAGAAATGCTTATTCTACAGACGCTTTCAGATAGTGCCCTGTTGGAATCAGTTAAGCATCAGGGAACAGAAATATTGCAGTTTTTAGCTAGAATGAATGTTCTGAGTTATAGTATTTATCTAAAAACTTACTGTGTCATATGCCAGATTATTTCTGTGGAGAAATTCAAGCTTGTGTTTTGGAGGCAGGTCATTGAAGCGGTAGCGGAATAGATCAACTTCCTGTTGTATAAACCACCGTCTCAGGTCCTCCCTTTAAGATACCATTAGATATAGACATGTATTCAGTTGCATTTGAAACTACATCCCTTTCCACAGCATTTTGTTTTTATAGAAACTACTAACTTACGTTTGGCAGTAGGCAAGTCTGAGAATGAAGTGGGAGATGTGGTCCTTTCTTCGTTTCTCATATTCACTTGGTCCACTCTGAATTTTTCTGTCGTCCTGTACGGGTTAATGGAGATACATATTTTATGGAGATATTCGCTTTCATTACTCACAAATATTTCATTACTTTTGTTGAAACAATAAACCACAAGCACAAAAGGAGCACATTGTGCAGCACTAACGCTGATGGATCAAGTGCAGTGTGATGTTACATGGTGACATGTAAGTGGTCTTACGGCGTGATACATGCAAAAGCACTGCTAAACTTCAAAACCATTTTGATGTACGTCACGCTAAACATACTCACAGCATCGGGTCTGTAAGGAAAGTTCAGGTTTTTAAACTCAGCCTCCAGTTTCTTTGCGTACTGCTCTGACAGTTTCACGTAGCTCACTCCTAAATTCTCAATGGTCTTCAACACTGCAGTGGCAATAAAAGAAGACAATATAAATATCGCGTCCTTTTTTTTTAACATGTTTAAAATGTAATTCAGAACAGCAGAGAAAAACACGGCTGCTTACAGACATTTTCTACCAGCATCTTACATTTCAATCTGTCCACAGCGAATGTCTCAAATTCGGAGAGAGAGATGTTTTCAAGAGGAGGCTGCCCATAGAACTGCAGAGCATGTCCATAGAGCTCCGTCTGAGGGTTGATATTGTTTTTCCTTCTTCTGCTTGAAAACTGCATGGTTCCTGATGGAAAGGGAAAACAAGCAAGTTTTCGATAATGCACAATAATGTATCATCAGATAATATGTCACTGGTAGTCACATGTTTAATTGGTGCAACTACAAGTTCTTTATTTGAAGAATACACAGACCGGTGTGTGTCTAAATACTACTTCAGGAAAGTTGAATAAGTTGCACAACTCCTCTCCAACGTACCACGATTTATTGATGTTAATGACGGCCCGAGCTACCTTGCCAGGGTGCTGAGACTGTGTGAATAAAACATGGTGCACTAGAGAAGAATTGTGTGACTGATTAAAAAGGTGCCACTGCCAACAATTAGCAATCCACTGACCCTAATTCGGTCTGACAACTCAAAGGATGCTGCATCCATCTTTACAAAACCAAGCCACATTAAATGACTGCCTCTGTTACTAACTTCATGTGCCCATAACCCAGGCAGCAGATATGGCATCTCCACTAACTTACTGCAAATGTGTTCATACACCACAAATCACCGAAGCCCCACTGTAACAGATTGTGTAAAGCAGAAGAAAGAGATTTAATATACATGCAACAGCAGTTTCTACCTGTCAAAATGTGTTTTTATCTGCAGTAACTTGGCTAGAAAGCTGCTTTCACTAAACGCAGGAAGGTATAAGTGGATTCAGGGATTAATGATGTTACAGTAGGTCCTGCTTTCTCTTTAAAACCAACTGCACCCTGGTGGAGACTTAATTAAAGCCACAAACAGAGACCCTTTACTGAAGTTAACAAGACTGTAGCCTATAATAGCCTTTTTATAGTCAACACATCCCAAACACAGGATAGCTAACGTTACTTCTACGTGGTGGAAGAGGCGAGCTAACAGTAAACTAAAACTAAAACAACCTCGGCAACTTCTCACACGATAAACCACACATAAGGCGACTGGAACGGCATTTAAATGCTTATATTTTCGTTATATTACCGATTAGACGATGGAGCCGCTCGTCCTTAACTCAATCCCGCCAAACAAAGTGGGTTGTTCAACAAACGCGGGTAAACGATGACGTTTCTAGACAAATCAGGAAGAGAAACTCCGTCGTAGCGGGTGTGCGCTCGTTTAGTTGTTCCGCCCGTCCCGCCTTAACGCTATCGTTGATGCTTACCTCTATGGAAATATAATAAAGGAAATACCCTACCCCCTTTTTTATAGTGAATATAAACCAGTTGTATAGCTGAAGAATTTAACACTTGAAATATATAAACAGTGGTTATACATTGAGTATTTTCTTGATGTAGGAATTGCGGGTGCGACTGTACAACATAACAAACGCACCCGGAACTAGTGGGTTTACACTTAGACTGAAATGTTATATATATTTTTTTTTCCCCTCTCTAGAATAGACTATTAATAAGCAGAACGTTTTAGGATCCGTGTATTAATGAATTAATAGAAACTTTAAAAAATTGTGTACAGTGTTAAAACATAAGAACTACAAAAATGTCTACCGACAGTGCCGCGTTCCTCCGGAACTGAATCAGCCAATAGCAAGTCTCCAAACAGGACACGTCAGAGCTGCGTCACATCAGTCGCACAATCTGTTTTATGCATTAAGAGCATTTTGTAACTAATTTACATGCTTAAATATCTTATGGAAAAGTTTACCTATGATTTATATTGTTCATTTTTTTTATATAATCAATTATTAATTCATTGTTATAAAAGCTAAGATATTTTATGTGTAGTGATAGACAGATTATCTGGCATGTTGAGATTAACTCAACCTTAAAGGTCGTGAAAAGGTTGTCTGATCTAACATATTATGGGTTTTCTTCACTTTGTGTTGGACCTTGCAGGTGAAGTGTTGAGTCAAGATGTAAGGGTCAATACATTTTGTTCTTATATTGCACGTTTAATTGTTCCAGTTTTTCCAAAACCAAGAACTAAGCCTCAAATAGATCAAATTAAACTATAATTTAGTATTTTGTAGTGCAGAGGATGGATGTTTGTGATAGTTGTTGGTCGTTTTACGTTGTATTTTACTTTACTTGTATTTATTATTATATTATATATATAATATATTATATACTAATTATTTACTGTCAATTAGCCACACTGCAGCTCTAAACCAGTTGGTGACCATAATGTGCCATTTTTGTTGTTTGGTAACCGACAAAAAAAACCCAAGAAGCAGAAAATTAAGCAGTAGAAGCAGAAAACGAAGCAGTAGAAGCAGAAAACGAAGCAGTAGAAACAGAAAACGAAGCAGTAGAAGCAGAAACGAAGCCAGTAAACGAAGCCGGTAGAGCAGAAAACGAAGCAGTAGAAGCAGTAGAAACCAGAAACACCGAAGCGGTAAGCAGAAACGCAAGCAGTAGAACAGAAAACGAAGCAGTAAAGCAGAAAACGAAGCAGTAAGAAGCAGTAGAAGCAGAAACGACAGCGGTGAGCAGAAAACGAAAGCCAGTAGAAGCAGTAGAAACAGAAAACGAAGCGGTAGAGCAGAAAACGAAGCAGTAGAACAGAAAACGAAGCGGGTTAGAAGCAGAAAACGAAGCAGTAGATGCATAAAGCAGAAAACGAAACGGTAGAAGCAGAAAACGAAGCAGAGAAGCAGTAGAAACAGAAAACGAAGCGGTAGAGCAGAAAAACGACAAAGCAGTAGAAGCAGAAAACGAAGCAGTAGAAGCAGAAAACGAAGCAGTAGAAGCAGAAAACGAAGCAGTAGAAGCGGTAGAAGCAGAAAACGAAGCAGTAGAAGCAGAAGACGTAACTCTCTTGCATCGCGCACTCTTTGGCTCTGCTGCCTAGCAACAAACATTAGCGAGCTAGCCAGTTGCCTCGTTAGCGACCCTCATGCGCAGCGTCGTTAGCTGGAGCTTGCGGACAGACAGCAAGTCACAGTCTCACCCCGTTAATGTCACCTCGTTTACTCCGCTGTCGACGTTAATTCAACCTTCATCTGCCGCGTTGAAGCGGAGCACATTCGGCCTATGCAGTCACCAGCTAGATACAACTAACAGGCGGAGAGGAAGGTCCCTTTTCTCTCTCTTTCTCTCTCTCTTTCTCTCTCTCTTTCTCTCTGAAAAGTGGCTAACCTTAGCTAAGTAACCTTAGCAGCAACGAGAAGAGAAGAGGGAGGCTGGAGATATGTGATTGTGGGTTAGCTGGCTGCTTAGCTCATCTAATGCTGGCGGACACTGGGTGAGTTGAAACCTCATTTTTTTTTTTTTCCAGGTAAGAAAATTGCCCACTGTGTTGGGGGTTTTTTCTAGCACTTCATCCTTCCTCACCAGCTCAGTTTCCTCCAGTCAGCTGCTTGGTACCTGGAGAGCCTCCTGCCAGCTGTTCAACAGGTCACATCTGCACCGAGGCGAGGCACTCACATTTAAAGGGAGTAAAGCAGGCAGGAAAAGTTCACTGGATATTCAATAACCCCTCGCAGACTTTGGACGATAATACCCGCAGCAGCAGAAATGAGCAGTTGTTCTTTATAAGTGTGTTTAATCTGTGTGCCCTGTGTTGTAGGCTTTAACTGTGGCCCGCCTCGAGGCCCGGGCCAAAGTATCGGTGAGTCTGAAGATGACTCACTGTCGAGGAGGAGACATGCACACTGAAGAAAGTTCATTTATATGTGCGGTGTTACGACACCCTGCTGCCCTGCTGCGTGAAAGATTCTCATGCCTTTTTAAAAAAATGTGTGTAGATGAAAAAATAGGTCAAGATGAAATTAATAACGCAGAATTTAGATGGAAGAGTTGTCTGTGCGGGGACGAAAACTGACCTGGAGTCGGTGATAATGGAGAAATGATTGCGGTACTTTGTATTGTTAGATTGTGTCCCACACTATGTGTAGAAAATTCACGATTACAGTGATAGACAATAAATGATCATTACTAATGGATTGCCCGCTCTTATTATTGGTGTTAACTGCATAATATTGGGGATTTGTTTTTCAGTTATTGGACTTTTTTTTAAGACTAGTGGTCAACAAATGTCACAGTAACAGCTTGTGGAGAGTGCACAAGCAACTACCATCCACTTTGACTCACTTTGACACCCTAAAACACATTTTTAATTTAAAAAAACACATCTAGAAATGAGTACACAGAGAGAAAGGGAACTGCAGATGTGTAACTTAGTTTATAAATCAACGCTGGGAGGAAGAATCGGGTCTTGAGTCCTCACTTAACATGAGATGGATCCATGTAAGAGATTGCCGAGGTGAAATCTAATCTCAGGTGTTCACTTTGTTGTAAACTGAGAAGAGTTCAAACAAAAGAGAGACGCCGGTTTATTTTCAAGCCACGTTTTCCCTGCGTGTTTGTAACAACTGCTGCGTCACACAGCTCAATTATAGCTGATGAATAATGTCTTCTACCGAAACACATATTGTGACTCAAATTCAGACTGTTGGACGCCACAGTCACACAGTCGGTTGTCCACCGGGAACAGCTTTCCCACAGTATGTTGTTTAGCATTGCGCTCAGCAGCTCCACACATACAACTGAGGAAGAGTTGCCAGTTGCTATGTGGAGTCTGCTGCGCTCGCTGCTAATGGAAGAATAAACACATTGCACAGTCGCTCCGAACAAGTTCCTGGTAAAGATTTACAACGGTTAGGTCAATGTTAGCACACGTAATAGTTTAAAGACATTGTGTGTGTGTTAAGCACTTTACCAGAGTGCACTCTGTCCCCGGTTAAATGCTTGTGGGAACGTTTAGTGCTCAAAGCAATTACATTTCAGATGTGACAAGCCGTTGCTTCTGGGCTCTTGTAATGTGGATTCTGTTGTTATTTTTGACTGAATAGAAAAAAAAGATGAATCAATAAGAAAAACAAACATTTGTTGCCCCTCCAGGAGCTTCACAAATAGTTGATATAATATATAAGGTACATATTCTGTGTACTGGTTGGTTTTATGCCAGATCAGACTGGTTTGTGCGCTAATACGTCATTTAATAAAAGTTGACCAACTTGATCTACTCAATTCAATCAGAACTACTTTTAGGTGGGAAAGGTCCTAAGCTAGGATGCTTCAAAACAGACAGCATGTTACCATTATTCTGTCACATATTAGTGTCATAGAGAGATCAGCTCAGTGTTTTGATGTTTGAGCACACGTTTTGTAGGTGCACTGTTCTCATCTGTGTCTCAGTGTCTCCAGTTGCTTTCGGTTGGTGTCTAATAAAAGCTGAAGCATCTCCATTAAAGGAAATTGTTTGATTGTAACTGTTTAATTGTTTGATTATTGAGTAAAGAGGGGTCACATTGGAATACAAGCTACGTTTTCTGTGTCTGAATAGAAAATTAGAGTTGCATCGAATATTTCTTCACCAACAGACGACAGAAAATTGTTTCTAAATCAAACTTTATCAACTTTGGTACAGCAAATCAACTTGATAACGAACCATTACAAAGTAACCAACTTGAAGTTGAGTATATTTGCTGAACTACTAGAAGATAACTCACTGACCTGTTCATTCACAAGAGCATATTTGAGTTGCACTGCTGATGTTTCTGCTGGCTGTGTTTTACTTACTACCTAAACGTGTCCCACATCCATGTTCTGTTTACACATTCAGGTGGTATCTGTGTACTGAAACTACCCAGGCGGAGTGGAACTGAGAAACACAGCCAGACATCGCCACCATGTTGGAGGAAGACATGGAAGTGGCCATCAAGGTGGTCGTGGTTGGCAACGGAGCCGTCGGCAAGTCCAGTATGATCCAGCGTTACTGCAAGGGCATCTTCACTAAGGACTACAAGAAGACCATCGGAGTGGACTTCCTGGAAAGACAGATACTGTGAGCAACTTGTTTCACAATTCTTCAACTGACGAATCATTAATTCCTCTGGTGTATATGTGTATTACTCTTATTAAGACATTAAAAAAACGGTGTGCTGGGTAGGATATTGTTATGCCGACTGTAGAGAATTGACGAACTCATTTTTTGACCCGCTCAATGTTTTAGCGTGAACGACGAAGATGTTCGACTAATGCTGTGGGACACCGCCGGGCAGGAGGAGTTTGACGCTATTACCAAGGCCTACTACCGCGGTAAGACCCCTCCCTCTGTGACGAAGTATAGCACCGCTGCTCGGGGTCACTGACCTCCCCGTTGCTGAGGTTAAGCTTTATTTGTCACAGATTTTATGGTAGACTGGCAACGCGGCATTAAACCAAAGCACGTGTGAATCTCCAGCACAGGCCGTTCTGGAGCTGACCCGCTGTTTTTACAGTACCAATTATGTGTCATATTGTTTTATCAGAACAGATTAAATCATGTTTAAAGGGGCGAACTGCTTGAAAACGTGACCTGTTGGTATGCCGTCTTGCATTCCAGGCGCCCAAGCATGTGTGCTAGTCTTCTCCACCACAGACAGGGAGTCGTTTCAGGCTATTGACAGCTGGAGGGAGAAGGTGGAGGCAGAGGTCGGAGATATTCCCACCGTTCTAGTGCAGAACAAAATTGACTTGCTAGAAGAGACTGTTATAAAAAAGTAAGTAATCGTTTCTTTTATGCAAAAATCACTGAATGAATTAAGGACAAATAGTAATGACTGTGAATTGTAATTAAAGCAATAGAACTTGCCATGAATGAAGACGTTTTGTATTTTTTTTTGCTTGCATTGCAGCGAGGAGGCAGAAGCTTTGGCTAAAAGGCTGAAGCTGAGATTTTATCGAGCTTCAGTAAAAGAGGACCTTAATGTCAATGAAGGTGGGTTACTGAAGCTGGTCTAATGCAAATGAAGCAGTCTCATTCTGCCCGTTACACCCGTCACATTTCTGCTCGTTCTCTCTTTTTAGTTTTTAAGTACTTAGCTGAGAAGTATCTTCAGAGACTCAAGCAGCAAACCGCAGAGGAGACGGAGGTGGTCCACACAACAAGCAATAAAATAGGTAAGGACTCTTTCCGTACATCAGCTTTTTAGATTTCATTTTTTAAGTTTTGTTTAAGTGACGCCACTCAAATAAATTGTGTTTTTCCAAAGGTGTTTTTAATACCACAAGTAGTAATGTCTGCAACCAGAGCTCCAGCAACGGCAGAGAAATCATCACTTTGCGACCTAACAAACAAAGGACCAAGAAGAGTAAAAATCCTTTTGGAAGCTGCAGCCTGCTCTAGATAACATCATTGCATTTTAGTGACTGACTATTGTTTCTGAGACTAGAGTGATCATTGTTGTATTCTGTGGAGGTAGCCACATTTAGAGACCAAAGCCCACACAGACTGGGAAAATACTACTCCATACTACTTTAATGACCCGACGCTCAATCTGAATCCTAAGTTGTTTCCCTACATTGATGGTTGGATTTCCCTTTGATTCAGCCTTGGATCTCCATCAATGTGCACAAAAGCTGTCAATGTTCGTCCACTCTCGGGTCCCCCTTGTGGTTGCCTTACGTAACAGCAACAGCTGCGGCTCCAGTGCATGTGCAGTTTGTTGTGTCATGAGATGATTTTTACACCCACTCCTGTTTTTGACATTTCAACTGTGCAATCTGTTTGCATGTATTGTAGAAGATACACAGATTATTTTGTACCATATTTTTCTAACTGTCAACAGAATATGGTTCAAACTATACTGTTTATCATGGACAAAACACCTACCGAATCCAGAGGTAATTCTCTGCGCAGAAGTATTTTTGTACGAAACAGTGTTGAGTGATATTTTCTCTGAAGTGTTGACATAGTGCCAAATTTCCTCTTTTTGAGCTGTAGTGAGATATTAATAATTCAGTGATATGGAAGTAACATGAAATTAGTAGAATGTGCTCCTATGTATAACCAAATATCAATAACTATTTACACAAAATAGTCCTCTTTATGTCAGCTTACACTTTTTTACGGATTTGTTAACCAAATTGTAAAATTTTCACAAAGTCTAGGACTCTGTGCGAAACACGAGAGGAATTAATGATTCGTCGTATCTCGAGTCACAATCAGTTACAGCATTATGTTTGGATTTCACTTGTTTCCATTTTATTTAACTGTACTTGTCTTTAACTTTGGTACAGCTTTGAGTAACGATCGATCAGACCCTTCTAACATTTTAAACACTAAACATGGTACAAGATTTTAGTTTTTGCTTCTTATGTGTGTTTGGCTTCTGTAGTATCTAATCGGTTTGTATTGTGTAAATGTCATTCTGCTCCTTTTTGATGGAGGGAAACGAGGAGAAGAAGTGGGATGAGAAAGTTGAAAAGACTAAATGCTCACTGCTCAGTGGTGTCTGTCTCTGTGGTATGGATCCTAAAGCTGACTCTAAGGACCGGATGTTTTGCTTGTGCGTGCCTGAATATGCAAGGAAATGAGTTTTCCTCTCACTACATGAGGGTACTCCAAAAAAAGATCTCCCAAACTAATACAGCTAGCTGTGAATTGTATGTTACTGCCTTGTCTGCCTAAAGCCTTTTAATTTTTATTCTGAAACTCATTTTCTGAACGACACCGGTTTACCAAGCACAAAGAAATATGTGGTCATGTGGAAAAATTAGATTTCCTTATAAATAATTAAGATAAGTATTTTACATGGAATTAGAATACGTAGGACATCTGGGAATACGTGTGCATGCACATTTTTGTCATTTAAAAACATTTTTATAATCTCAGATCTCTCTTAGAAGCTTTTTTCCAGATTCAAATGAACTACATTAAGTTCAGACAAGACTGAATTCATTCCACTTATACCATTGTTACTAAGATTGTGTCACATTTCAAGCTTTCTCATTTGTTTGTATGTAAACAGTGGTGTTTTTAAAAAAAAGAAAGTGTGGCATAACTGTGATGCATGCAAAGCCTTTTTTTTCCACATCAGTGAATGTCCAACCGTGGTTGCAATGCCACAATGCCTTGTCCACGTTTACATTCCCCCCCATCGACCACCAGTAAGCATTTTGATCCCCACTCTTGCTGTTTGTTTCAAATTGCCTGCACAGTAAATCTGTAAATAATTATTTCTCAAACTATCTCTTATTTGTAACGTTGTGTTTACTTTGCCTCTTTGCTTTTTGACTGAATGGATTTAGCGCACTTTATCAAGAAGATGGCATATAATCTTAAAGAACCATAAGTTAAAACTAACCATACTTATGTGCTGTCACTCAGGTGTTGTAATAATTTTTGTGTCTTACTGTTACTCTTCTTTTTCACACATGACTTCATAAACCTATTTCACACATTTAGATAGACAAACCAACATAATGTATGCTTTCAGTCTGACAAAAACAACACTTTGTTGGATTTTTTTGTTTTAACAGTTAAAAATGTATCACAACTTGAAGCGTGCTACACAACCGTGCACCTGATGTTATGTTTGTGGGGGGGAAGTTGATGGTAATCTGACATAAATAAAACTTTACTTTTTTCTTGGGCATCCAGTGTGTAATTTCAACTGACAATACTCTTCTACTTCGCTACAATCTT